CAAATTCTTTAGAGGCATCAACCATTCGTTGATGCATAATCATATGCGGGCTGTAGTATGCAGACAACCCACCTTTTGCCGGATAGTAGTTGGATATTTTTGCGACTCTTGTCATAAGTGCCACAGTCAACTTCTTTGGAATCGCCTTGAATGGCATTCGGTGAAAGTGAACCCGAAACAGTGCTTTTAAATGTTGATTATTTTGTTCCACCTTCGGATCATGTTCGCCTCTGCTGGCGTAATTCATATGAACTTCAAGTTCGTCTTTCAGGGGCTCAAATACCGGACGGAACTCCCCATCACAGTAAATCTTTTCCACTGTGAAATCACGTGCATTATATAGTTGAAAGCATTTATCGATTGCGTCGTACAATGCCGTTTTGGATCGTGAAGCCAAGGGTATGTAGCACCGGTATCTCACACTTCCATCAATGGTTGTGAGTCTGAATGAATTGTTAACAAAAACAAGATCAATGTGCAGCACAACACTCAGATTGTGCATTAATAACTCCTTTGGTATTTCTATCCAGTCATCCCGCACTCCTTCAGGTGTGGGACGCTTTGTTTTTCCTTTTAGGACCAAAGAACCAGGTCCATATATCTTTTCAGCAATGATTGCATCTTCTTCATTCACATTGCAGTTCTTGAACAAACCAGATCTTACTGCAATACAAAACGCTTGCACGCCTGGTGCACCAGCCATATGATACACTGATTGTGCGCGATTAGCCCACTCAACTTGTTTATCAGTGAAGCCTTCGATATTCTCCCGTACCGTCTGTATGGCAAAATAATCGGAATCGGAATAGCTAATTTTTCAAATTCTACCACAGAAAATAACACCACATTTATGGCATTCAGTGTGTGCGACACCAATCGCGTCGCAGTCACAATTTCCGCATTCTCTGTATTCACATTCAGAGTATTTGGACCCTTCATCACTCTCTACCCTACCATCGGGCATGAAAGTATACAATCCGTTCCGATGTACATACCTCATTTGTTGTTCCCCCTTTGTAACGATGAAGGAGTTTTCAATATCAGTGTCCATAACAACACGGAATCTAAACTTCACAAGCTTGGACAAACTATCAAGGTTACATTGCGCTTCAGTATCAAGCAAGCAAGTGTGTCCTTCGATAATACTTGATTCGACCTGCTGATGCAGATCACGTTGGCCAGTGTTTGTACTGTAGTTGAACATTTAATCCAGGTCAGACACAGTGCCCGGTTTGGCGTAATCTTTGTTCATTCGTAGGCTGAACGTAGATCCAGAATCAAGATGCACACCAAGATCGATATCCCAGTGCTTACTTCCATTAGACTTGAAAGGTTTCTTGTTGTCTTTGGTCCATTGAGAACAGTGCTTCAATGAATCCATCTTTGAGGTTGACTTGTAGATCTGCATGTTCAAGCTTCCATTGCTGACCATGCTGTCATCGTCCTTGAAAGTACTGGCAGCTTCTATTTGTGCTTGCCATTTCTTCATTAGCAACTCTCCTCTGTCTTCAGTGGAGACTGCTTTCTTTTTCAGAATCGGTCTTACACGTACTTGTGCAAGGTTCCATCCTGTAATCCTACCATCAGATCGTCCATCAGCGACAGATCTGCCCTGTACCACATAAGAACCGGTTACATCAGTAGTAAAGAAGTGCTATTTCCACTCCTGTCAACAACAGCTCGTTGCATATTGCTTCGATGTTGTTGACCAGTTGATTGCGTTCCAGTGACGCTAGACGCAGCATCCGACTGCGCCGCAGATGCAGTTGCAGGGACTTGGAGATTGGCTCTCCCCGCTCGTCTTGTAGTAGTAGTAGTAGTAGTAGTAGTAGTAGTAGTAGTAGTAGTAGTAGTAGTAGTAGTAGTAGTAGTAGTAGTAGTAGTAGTAGTAGTAGTAGTAGTAGTAGTAGTAGTAGTAGTAGTAGTAGTAGTAGTAGTAGTAGTGGGTGCGTCGCTGTATCGTCCTGGGTCGCTCCATTCCGCTTGTGGGCGTGTGGAGCGTTTGGGACAATGGGTGACCCCGTGGCCAGTATCTCCGCAACACCAGCAAATGAAAGCCGGTTGTGAAGATGTCGTTCAAGCATTCGCCTGTGCGTTGCTCACTCCGTCAGGAGCACTGCTGCTCGCAGTGGTTGCGCTTGGAGTAGGTCTCGGTGTTGTCGGACCTTTCTTTCTATTGTCCGGCTTATGTTTGATCAGCGCTTTGGCAACCTGGTCAATCGTAGGCGGATATTTGTTTCTTTGGTCGTATTCCTTGAATTCCATGGCGTAGGTCTGGTTTGCCTTGTCCAACATGCTTTGGAAGCGAGACCGGTCGCAGTTGTAGAAAAATGCACTTGCTTTAAATGTGCCCAGAACTGCTTTCTTGAAGGTTTCTTGGAGCGCCTTGATATCGTCCGGATCGGCCTCCGAATCGTACAGATCTAGGTACCCCATTGTTTTGGTCGCATAGACATGCAACACATCGGTGCCAAGGATTTCGAACACGTGGTCAGCTTGGGCTTCGAACCGTCTTCTGTAACCGTTCACAGACTCATTTTGCTTCTGAGTGCAGTTTGTGAATCTCTTGAGAGATTCCATGAGTCCAAAGTGTTGCCACTTGGTCTCATCTGTGATGGTCATGAACGTCTTGATACGCTTCAACAACATCACATGGTCTTCCTTGAGGTCCAACCAATCCGTTTCATTGCTTAACTTATCTCTCATTGCTTGAGTGATGAAATGCTTGGTGATGATCGCAGCCACGGTATATTGGTTTGTGGTATAGATCACCTCTCTCTTGTCAATCTTGACATTTAGATTTTCCCAGTTCCTATCAAGTTGAGCCTGTCTTGAACTTTTGAAGAACTTGGAGTCGTTCTTCCCTGGCTTGTAGACCGTTTGAGTGCCTCTTAAAGCCTTAAAGTCCACATGGGCCATATTTCTCACACTCCAGATCATATCTTGAGCGTAGTCCAAGCTCTTGAGCGCAATGGCCTCAAGCAAGTATATTGTCACCTGCTCGTGAGTGAAGTCAGGATTGTGAGGATGGTATTGCTTTGGTCTATCGGCCTTCTTGCTGTGAGACCCTCGTCCAGAGCAAGATGCCTGGTAGAAGAAACCAAGGCAGAGGCGGTCAAGGTGGCCGTGGAGGAAGATCTGCACAGCAGATCCTCTATCAACATTTTCTTGATGGTGATCCAAATCGGCCACAATAGGTTCTTCCTCTTCATTGCCTTCATCACCTGAATCTTTGTCTGATTCATAGTCATCATCTCCTTGGAATCTGACAGTGAGTTCCGGCATATCATGGACATCATTGTCTGCATCTGCCAAGAGCTCTTCTCTTTCGGAGTCATCAATATCATCAAATTGTCCATGTAGGTTGAAATCACATTCATCTTCATCTTCAGGTTCATTGTCCTGATCAAAGGCTTCTTCTAAGTAACCTTGTTCCGTGTCATCCACTCCTGCGATTTGATTGCCATCCTGAAATGTCTCCAAATCTCTCTTCTTATCAAAGAACTTCATGGAAGTAACACCTTCGGCAGCAGCCCAAGCTTCAACACGCTGGATTACTTGATCGGTAACGGGTAGTACAACAACCTTGGGTCGGGAAATCATCTTTTTAGTATTGAGGTTGAGCACTTGGTGCCCAGTACGTTGTCCCTTCGTAGGTTCAATGTAAATCGCTTTGATACTTTGGGGTTCCATCAAATTGCTGGAATCCGTCCCAATTGCATGAACATACTGTCCAAGTTCAGCAACCATGTCACTCTTGTAGTTGATATTGACATTATCAATGAGTTGCTGTGGACTGAAATGTGATGAGATACTGTCTTTCTGGGGAAAGACATTCAATAGCTCGGCGGCTTGACATCCAAGACATTCAGTGATCACCTTTGGTACCACTTTGTAGGGTAATCGTGCAAGAGCTACTCTGACTCTTTCTTTCAGCGTCCTATTGTTTCGCTCAGCGGTAGGTTTGTGGTCTCCAGCTGCAGTCGGGTCAATAGTAACACCCATATCGTCTAGCAAATCATTCGTGAGAGGAATGAACGCCCAAACCTCACTTGATGATCTTGACTTGAAAGCCTGCCTTGTTGTAGCGGCGGAATATCTTATCCAATGCTTCAAATACAGGGTCAGTCTTCAGGTTCTGCACGGGAATACATGAGCGATAACGCACAGTGGTATCAATGCAGGTGAGAAACTTAGCATTCTCAATCTCCATGTGATCAATACAGACGGTAATAGATTGATTGTGCTGATATAATTCCTCTGGTGGACTGAAGAAGTCGTTGTACGTCTTCTTCAGAGTTGGTCTTGTTGACTTGCCTTTCAATGTAGAGGCGTCAGGTCCAAAGATTGCTTTGGCATGATTGATCACTTCTTCGGTGATAGGACAGTTCTTGATGAGACCAGATCGGATCGCATACTTCAGACTTTTGGTGCTTGGAGCATTGAGTATGTGCATTGCACTTCTTGCTTCATTCGCAGCCTTGACTTGTCTTGGGGTGAATCCTTCCTTGTTCTTTTGAACAGTTGCCATCTTGGAGGTCATCTCGAGTCCAGCATATCCATTCTGTTTGTTTGAAGAAAGTTCGAAATGGGGTTGATTATTTAAGTTGCTTAACTGGCAAAGGTACATCGCACTTGTCTCTTTGGCACCTGGTTTGACATTTCCTCCAAGCTTAACGTGCTATCGTTGTGCTCCTGGCTCTCATCGTAGAGAGAGCGTACTAGTGCGTTGATGTAGCTACTGTTGGACATGATAGACGGTGATTGATATTGCTATTGGGGTGTATTTACGGGGGTCTGAAGCAGCTGTGAGTAGATGAGGAAAGATTGATCTTGGGCTGAATATTCGGCGATGACCGTTGGCCTTCGATCGCTCTAATACATCTGCTCAGGACTCGGCAGTCCAGTCAGTCACGTTACGTCCCCTCTTCTTCTATTTAGGCGACTCTGTTGTAACGTCTCATCTTGGTCTGTTTTCACCTCCCTCTTCTTGATGAATGGCTGCTGGCACCGAACAAGGTAGCCGAAGAAAAATCGCCATCTAACCCGCAATTGCAAATTGGGCTGCAGGATTCTCTCCAACGTCCAGGTTGCTGGCGAGCGGCTTCAAGTGTCTGACAGTTGCGTCCAGGTCCAAAGTTTGACTAGGTGCTTCGCGGTACGACGGTCAGAGCGGGAGGATCAGTCCTCATCTTAGTCGTTGTACACACGTATTCTGGGGGGGTATGGGGGTTGCTATATCGGGTCCTTCGTCTTTGGGGCTTTGTGTTCCTGCTACTCTGCCAGTCATGATTTGTACTGCATGCTGCGACATGGAGCAGTTTGTCAATGGCGGCTTTTTGTTGGGTCACCTGTTACTATGGTCTGCTGCGACAGATCGTCGTAACTTTTGGGTCTGGGGCTTGGGTCCACTTGTTCGGGGCTATCTAGGGGCTATTGTGGGTCATCTTTGGGTCAGCGTTGGGGCTTTCGAGGTGTATACTGTCTGTAGGCTTGGTTTGTGTTGGGACTATTCTTTTGTACTGGTTAGCTGTGTTTATCATTTGTGTCGCGCTCGTTTGTGTGCTCTACCTGGTGGTGTTGACTTGGGCGTGATGTTGGCTACTTTTAGTTTCATCTGTGGTGCCGCCTCTCTCACTTTTTCCCACACCACGTCCGGTATTTTGTAGTCACGTTCAAAATCGAACGGTCCGTACACGCCATCTTCAACAATGTTGACCTCTTTCTGGTACCAGGCGTATTTGTGCGGGCTCTTTTTTAGCACCTGGTCTACTTTGCTGGGTCTGATGGGTACTGTTGGGCCGTATGTTGTCTCGTTGGCAAATTCTTTGATGAGGGGCCAAAAGGGGCTGGTCATTGGGGGGCCCTGCTTTGTAGCGGTGGGTTTTGGTATGTACCACTTGCAGTGATACTGTCCTTTTGTTCTTGCTAGTTTCTCGTTGGTCTCCTCCATGTTGATTTGTATCACGTACCAGTTGTTCCACCCTGATGTGTCGTCTTGATGGGCTATGACATATAATTTGTCCTTGGTTTGTGTGGTTTGTTCGTATACGCTCTGTAGATTGAGTTCTTCTGTGATGGTTTCTGTGGTATGGACCTGTCTGGTTTGGTTGGCGCCTTGTGTATCTGTTGGCGGTACGTCTCGGTTAATCGGCCGAGGCTGCGTGCGTTGGATAGCGTCCAGTATGGATGGTGTAGGGGTGTCGTCTTCTTCTTCGTCTGATGAATCTTCAGTTGGCTCAACCTCTTCGTCCCAAAGGTCTTTGATTGGCTCGAATGCGTTTTCTGTGTCTGTCGGTGTTGTCGCGTATTTACCAAAATCAACCAGTCCTAGATTCATTTCCAGGGGGCTATGTGCTAGCGGGCTCCTCATGTTTGCTAGTCTTGTATCTGGTGTGTCCACTCGTTTGTGAAGTATTATCGTTGATGGGATCTTGTGCATTCTGAATGCTGATTCTTTGATTGGGGTTGATCCTCTCTTCCTTAGCATGGTGCTTGTTCCTGGGATCTTTTGTAGTCTGTACGAGTCGTCTGACGCTTTCTCGATGACTCTATAGGGTCCTTTTGTTCTTAGCACCAGTTTTGCTGGTATTCCTGCAGAGGCGTTTGATTGTACTTGTTTCCAAACCATAACAAGGTCTCCAATTTCAAATTTCTGTCGCATTCTGGTTTGATTCTTGAGCATTCTGTGGTGTTCCCTTCGTTCCTCATTGAGAAGTTTAAGCAGTTCCTTTTGTCTCCAGAAGAGTGGGAACATTGTCTCAATGTGCTCTAGTGTGTTCTGTCCTGGCGTTTGCTGGTGTCGTGTCCTGTTTTTCTGACGCGCCTCCGATATTGACAATGCCGCCGCTGCGTTGTCTAGTGGAAATTTGAAGTGTCGTGCCACTGCGGCGAATGCTCGTTGGATATCCGTGCCATCTACTGGGGCTGCATATCATGCATATGTTCCAAACATGGTGTTCATTGCCCATTCTTCGTAAGTGTTCATGTTGGCTGCTCCGATTCGTTGCACCTTGTTGAGGTATTTGTGGAATCTTTCACAGAGTATTCTGTTGTGGTTTTCCGGACTGACCGTGTGGTATGCGATTCCAATCGTGTCGCATAGGGCGGTAAATTGATCTTTGTTTTCGCTGCCTTCATCGATGAGGATCAATCGTGGCAGGCCTCGGACCGTGAAGAATTGCGAGAATGCTATTCTGGCCATGTTCCCTGAGTCCATGGAGCTGTTGAAAGCGACCGTGGCACAACCTGTCATGTTGCAAACGTAAGTGACTACTCCTTTGTTTGTGAGCGTCTTCCTCAAAGTTGTGGACATTTTGGTAGCGTTCTTTGTTGATCCTGGCGACCAAACGTCCATGCAACATACGTCAAATGGTTCTTCTATTGGGGTCTGTTGTAGAATCTTTTGGTTTTTGTGGCTCGACGGGTTGGCTGCATTGTAATGTCCGCATCCTAGGACTGCTTCTCTGATATCCTTTGCCATCCCGGGCCACCAAAACCTTGCTGCTATCCTGTAATACGTCTTGTGGAACCCTACGTGCCCTGCTATTGGTGATGCGTGGTATGCTGCTATGATTGTGGCTCTCAATCTTGGTGGGACGACCGCTCGTCGTAGTTGACGCATTGGTGCCGACTTCGGTTCTTCGAATTGGTATAGGATGCCGTTTTCAATCTCTAGCTTATCTCTGTTGAGTTCTGAGGCATACGTTGGGTTTGTGAGCTTTGATCTGTCTACCTTTTTGTTGTTGCGGATTGCCTTGATGATGTGGCTGATGTCCGGGTCGCCATTGCATTTCTCGCGCCAGTCTTCTCCGGTTGGGATCGGTAGTGTTGTGAATGGGTTGATGGATCTGCTGACTATTGCTGTTAGGTGTTTCTTGGCCTGTTTTGGTCTTGCGTACATTGTCAAGAATTTGTGTTCTGTTTTGTCCAATAAGTGTTGTCGCTGGATGTTTTTGCACATGCTGTAAGTGAACACTTGCTGCCACACCTGTTGTGGTGCCATGCTCTTCATTGTCTCTTTTGTCTCTCTCCAACTGAGTTTCTCCTCAAACAACAGTTTTCTGCTTTCCTCTTTTGTGAAACCGAACAGGCTGAGGGCTTCCCAGGGTCTGATCGTTCGGACCAGTGATGTTACCTCCGCGTCGTTGGTTGTGATTGCTATCGTGCCTTGCGCTGAGATCATGGGTGTTGTGTGGAAGCTGGGGGAGATTTTGGTGGTATCGTAGATCTCATGTTCTTGTGTGTGTCCTTGCGAGTTGACCGTGTGGACTCTGTTTTGTCCTAGCCTTGCCACGTTGAAATATCCTGTGTAGCTTTCGTTTGGTGCGTCCATAGCGTTTTCGATCGTTCCTGGCTGTGCGTATGGATCTTCCTCAACTAAACTTCTGCTCCATGCCTCCGTCACTCTCCTCCCGGCTGTGAGTATTATGGTGTGTTCGGTGTCTATGTCTGCTTGTGTTGTGCTGCCTCTGGCTGTGCGTGTCGCGGTTTGTAGGTCGGTTCTGTCTCTGGTTTCTCGTTTTATGTATTGTTCCCATTCGTCGATGATCTTGCCGGGTTGCTTTCCTGTCCACATGAGTATGCATTGTGTTGCTCCCTGTGTCGTTGCTTTTCTGATGATGGTGCGAAGGGCCTCCGAGGTTGTTGAGTTGTATTTTTCCATGTTGGTGACAATCAACCATTCTACTGGCGGTTGTGTTGTGTTGTTGGCTAGCCTTTTGGCAAACGTTTCAATGTTTGGTATGTCGTGTTGTAGCTGCCAATAT